GTAGGTAGGTAGGTAGGTAGGGAGGATGGGTATGTATATATATATATATATATGTATGTGTGTGATAGAAAGATAGATAAATAGAGACCCCCTCCCCCAATTCCACCAAAGCCAGACAGCAGTATTCCTACTTGTAACTCGGCATACGAAGTCGCCCGGCTCTGCAAGTAGATAGACTCATTCCGCAGCCAAGGCATGGATCCAATCAGGGCTTTCACATCCCTAAACCCTATAGTCCCAACTCCTCTTTCAACTCCAAGCTCCAAAAACAGAAAACCGAAGCTGCAGCTAGGGAGACTCGTTTTTGCGAGAACAGCAAGAGCAGCAGTAGCCACAATGAGCTCAAGATTCCAATAGTGGCAACATCACAGCAAGAAGTATCCACCAGAACGTATCAATAATAGTCTAGAGGGTTAAGGTTAAGGGTTAGGGCCCAGAGACAAGTCGCCAAGGACGCCACGTCCATCTTCAAGGAAGTGGGTCACTCTCATAAGGCGAAGGTGCACTCTCCACCGGGGCTTTCTCTTCTAGGTTTTGGTGTTTTGTGGCTTGGGGTCTGCGGGATTAGGGTGGCTTTCGGGTTGAGCATTTGGGAATTTAGGGTTTTGCGAGGTGTTTTGGCATGTTGCCTAGCAGCTTCAGCTGTAGAACCTTGTGTTGTGTTGATGGGTGTTGATAGGAAAAATGGGGTTCGTATGGGGTTGACTCGGGTTGACATTAAGAAGCCAAGCAAAGCAAACGTGTACCTTCTCGAAAAGTTTTCGCGACCTCAGTTTTCTGAAACAAACACCCGCTGCGCAGACTTTGCCCAAAATCAGAAGTTCTAAAATCCCAAACCTTGAATCCCCAAACGCGACAGGGTGTGGTGAGCAGAGCAAGCACGAAACCCCAAATCGAGTCTGAAACCTTAAACCCTAAACCCTAAACCCTAAACCCCAAATCGAGTCTGAAGCCAGACATCCAAGATAGTCACTTTGATTTCCAAACCTGTCAAGGACGCTGGCCTGTGGTGACTAGGTGCCCCGTTCGGAGTATATACGATCCCATGAGAAGAATCACGAAATTCAATAAACTAGGTCCCACGGTTCTTCAAGCAACCCCCAATCCTAAACCTTCGTTCCTGCGCTTGATTCTTACACCCTAGGAACCTCAAATCGAATATCCAAACCCTGACTAACCCTAAACCCTAAACCCTAAACCCTAAACCCTACACCCAGTGCATGCACCCTCGAATCTTCCAATCCCAATACACAATGGTTTCTGCACCTTTTTTTAAAGCCTCTAGAATCCGCTCCAAACTCTAAACCCTAAATCCTAAACTCTAAACGCTAAGCGTTAAACTCTAAAGCCTCTAAACCGTAAGCCCTATACCCTCTAAGTCGTAAGCCCTAAGCCCTAGACATCCCTAGACCCTAAACCCCCTAAACCGCAAACCCTGGATCCGCAAAACGGAGCCCTCCCGGAAACCCTAAACCCTAAACCCTAAACCCTAAACCCTAAACCGTAGGCCATGGCTTTGAAGCGCCGTATCGGCCGCCTCAAGGCGGATTTTTCGGGCCCTCTTACCTTCTACACCCCAAAGCCTAAAGCCTAAAGCTTGATATGGGGCCTTCATAAGGAGAATAGGGTTTTGGGGTTTAGGGTTTAGGGCTCAGGGTGGATGTTACCATCACTTTATACATCATTCCAATAAGGAGCCCCCAAATGGTATTGGTAATTATGCAGGCCCCTATATTACCATAACCAATATTTAGGGGTCAGGGCTTATTTAGAGAAGAGGGTCATATCCTTGTTGAAGGTACCTTGGCTACTCCAGGTAAAGCCCAGAAGCCCTAAATCCTGAACCGGCACAACCCCTTGCCTATAGTTTCCTGTGGCAGAACCCTATAACCACCGAGTCTTAATGTCAGCAAAATGCGACGTTCTGCGGATTCCCGTCAGGGCCTGGTTGACTTTGGGTTTCTGCATATATGTGATCTTAGATGAGAGTGCAGATGTTGAGGACCTTAGCATGATGATGTAATGTAGGGGCCTAAATATTTACAAATACTATGTTGGAGGCTCCTTATAATTAATTATAGTATAATATATCCCAAAACCCTATTCTAATTATTAAGGCCCTACATTACATCTTACCATCCGCCCTCTCACATCGGGCCTTGTATGCAGTTGAGCAGAGAGGACGCGCCATTTCGGGGCGTTGTCTCGATCTTCTTAGGGGTGCTGAACTTTAAACCCTAAACCCTAGACCCCTAAACCCCTCAACTCTAAACCGTAAACCCTCAGACTCCCCAAGACCCTAAACTCTAAACCGTAAACCCTAAGACTCCCGAAGACCCTAAACTCTGAACCCGAAACCCTAAACCCTAACCCAGACATTCAGAAGGCTGGTTTGTTGGGGCTTTCTCTGGTCCCTCCGTTGCTTCGTCAGGCCCCTGCCTTCGAAGTATGACCGTGGGGCTTTGGGGGCTTTGGGTTGCAGGGTTTTAAGGTTCAGGGTTTAGGGTTTATAGGGTTTAGGCGGGTTTAGGGGTTTCGGGTTCAAGGGTTTAGGGGTTTATAGGGGTTTAGGGTTTAGGGTTTGCGGTTTCGGGTGTAGGGTTTGGAGGTTTAGGGCGTAGGGTTTAGGGATAGCCTCAAAGTAGAGTCGACGGACAGGCTGCCGGCGCCGAGACGACGATAGGAACAGCAAGGGAGAGGCTGGGCAGGTCTATGCCTAACTGGTGGTGGTAATACAGGGGCCTGAACAATCACCTCTATTTTATTATTATTTTTTTTTTTTT